GAAAGAGGGCCAGAACCTGCTATTTTAATGTTGACGTGGCCTCGGCGTGAAGGCGACTCCCCCTAAGTCGGAGGCGAAAAGGAAATAACCCTGGTGTGCTGGGATCGGGCTGCCGGCCGCCCAACATTTTACTGGGCACTTGGCGTACTTCGCAGCGTCTCAGTAGGTGTGAGCGCTCGGTGTAAACTGCCTGGCGGGCGAGGACAGCAGGAGCCCGGGCGGGAGCCCGAGAGAGAGCCCGAAAAGGCCGACCTTCCTCCCCACGCCCCCACTCCCGCGCCGCGCGCAATAGGAACTGGGGAGTGGCTGCAACTCGCCTCCCCAGCGTTTGAACTTTCTCTACCTCGCTTTCCATTTTTTCTGCTGGCCCTGCCCCTTTAAGCTTCCTGATTTCGTCTCCCACTGCTTCTCTCCACTGCTTGTTTTATTTTGGATTTCAAGGGCTTTATCAGCCACTTTGAGTTAATCATGGGATCAATCTATAATCAGACCCTCACGTTTGCTCCCTAAAATAACCCAGCCTCACGCCCAGCCCGCCCCCCCCCCCGCCCGATCCTCTCATCCCCAGCCGCCGCGCACGCGCTCGTGTTTGTGACCCGAGTCGTGTTTGTGACAGCTCGCCCGAGTGAGACTTTCTTTAGCTCACGTTACATTAGAGGCATAAACCCCCAGAGAAGGTAGGTGAAAAGAACAATTCGTTTTCTAAGAGGAGCCTGAGACTAGGGTTGGAAGTCCTGCCTGGCACCCGGTGCCCGGGTAGAAGCTGACTCGGATAAATGGGCTCCTGAAGGAAACAGCAACAACATCGCTGGGCTAACACTTCGCATGGCGGGAGGAAGCCGTAGGCATTTCTTCAACAAGCTTTAAGGGGTGCCATGTGAGAGTAAGAAGACAAATGACACTGTCTTTGTGAGGTTGAGAGTCTAATAAAGAGATAAACGTCATTGGAGAGCAGTGCTATGGGAACACAAAGGAGGGGCACATGCAGACGGGAAAGTGACGGCGAGGGCTTCCTGGGAGAGATGACATGCCGAGCCAGGCGCGGGAGTTTGCCAGCAAAGCGGGGAGGAAAGGCATTGTTTGCATGGGTTGTAGTAGCTGGGGTAAGAGGAAAGCATCGTATCCTGGGGCAACTACAAATCTTATACAGACTGGTGGTCCTACAGGAGCGGGGATGCAAGCAAGAAAGAGCGTCTTCAGGTGGACAGGATGGGTTCAGGAACTTCATCTGCCACGATTTCCACCCCCTGGGGCTATGGGAGGTGGGGAACAGCCTTTGAAAGAGGGTAGGAATGGATAGCCCATATCAAAGTCGTGTAAGACAGTGCTGGAGCAAAGTTTTTGTCTGGGAAACGTAAGTAATCTGTGGCCTAGAAGTAATGTTGCTAGAACCCTATAAAGCAGCGGTTCTCAACCTGTGGGTCCCGACCCCTTTCCGGCCGAACGACCCTTTCACAGGGGCTGCCTAAGACCATCGGAAAATACATATATAATTACATATTGTTTTTGTGATTAATCACTATGCTTTAATTATGTTCAATTTGTAACAATGAAATTGGGGTCACTACAACATGAGGAACTGTATTAAAGGGTGGTGGCATTAGGAAGGTTGAGAACCACTGCAAAGCCTATCAATGAACATTTACCTTTCTCTTACCTAGTTGTATATGTAATCTCCAACATTTAAAAACACGTTTCCTACTAATTTGTTCACCTCATTAGTTAAATAGTATGGTTTTAACCACAATTCCCATCTCCTTTTCCATGGAAAAAAAAATTAAAGAAAAATATGAACTAGGAAATCTTTTAAAGAAAATATTAGGAAGACAAAGATAAAACCAAAAGTTTTCTACTGAAGCTGCCTTAAATTGTGAGTACATGTCTCTTGTTTTTATTCTTGCAAATTATTGTCTTTTATGTAGTTATTTAAAAAGGGGGGATTAGAGGGCTGGAGAACCATCCAAATCTTTGTAGAACTAATATGATGTGATTTAGAAACAGACTCTCAGCTACAACTGAAAGCAGAACTGTAAGAAAAACAAACTCTTCAGATCTCTCACACATTTACCTCAGGCAAGGCAAGATTGCAAAAAGCAAACATGCCAATTGGTATACACAAACACTAAAATTAAAACTTCAGGAGGGAGAGGTTCTTAGTAACTATGTACTATCTCTATGTACAGTTATTACAAACAACTCTTGCTATCTAACGACCACATTCATCTATAACATGGCTTTGTAAAACCACAGTAGCAATTTATCTGTATTTTCATTAGCAATATATCTTTTTTCTGCTCTTTTTACCTAGTAAACATGTTTCACACTTTAGATGGCATCCTGAGCTTTCCCTAAAAAGACGCAGTATTTGCATTTGATCTTATATGAAACTAGAGGCCAGGTGCACAAAATTTGTGCACTGGGGTGGGGGGGCGGTGTCCCTCTACCGGCCTGCACCCTCTCCAATCTGGGACCCCTTGGGGGATGTCTGACTGCCTGTTTAGGCCTGATCTCACAGGTCTCACAATCTGGGACTGCAGGCTCCTAACTGCTCGCCTACCTGCCTGCCTGATTGCCCCTAACGGCTCCCCTGCCAGCCTGATTACCCTCAACTGCCCTCCCCTGCTGGCCTGATTGCCCCCAACTGCCTTCCCCTGCCACGACCCGCCTCCTCCGCTGGGACCCTCCTCCTCCACAAGAGGTGGTGGAGATGCCCGGACAGGCTGCCTATGCCCTGCATAGAGCTGCGGGACCCCCAGGCCTCACCGTGTGGATCAGCTGCCGGGACCTGCCTCTGTGCATGTGGCCATCTTGTGACGAAGTCGTGCGAGGGCGTGACACCACCTAGGCTTTTATTATATAGGATAAACTTTTTTTAGTCCTAGAACATTACCATACACTGAGCATCCTTGGAATTTTTACGTTGTTCTATATTGGTATTGATTTTTTAAAATCTTGTTCTTTTTGATGGTTGTGGCTCAGAATTCATTAAAAATGTAGTCTATTAAAATTACCAACTTAGCAAATTTATGATCAAATAATATTCATCACAGCCAGCACAGTGCAGCAAAACAGGTAAACTCTACTAGTGGGAATGTAAATTAGTACAGTCTTTCTGGAAGGCAATGTGATAATATTTTTTCTTTACTTTAAATGCGATCATATCCTTTATTTAGCATTACCATGTGCGATTCATCCAGAAATAATAGAACATTCAGGTAGTATTATTTATGATAACAACATTAAAGAGGAAATGGCTTAAATATCTGACAATAAGAAAATTATTACATCAATTATAGTATATCTATATGATGAATTATTATGTAGCCATAAAAATTGTTTACAAGAATTTTAATGACACAGAAAAATGTTTTTGACATAATTAAGTGGAAAATAAGATACAAGACTTTTGTAACTTCTTATCCCATATGTAGGATAATCTTATGTATATGAAAAATGCATCAAAATTGGTTCTCTCTAGATGGTAGGATTATCAGTAATTTTTCTAAATACCCTTATGTTTTTACAATTCATTTTTGAAACTTGACTATTAACATTCACTCAAGACAAAGTTTACTAATCCTACTACTTACATAGAAATTACTACTGATTTTCACCAAATGAAATCTGTTTGGCAGATTATAAATATTATGTGTTTCAAAGTATTTTTAAAATCCAAAGGCTGAGGTTCAGCACAGTGTGGAAAAACCAAGAGTTTTAGTATATATCAAACCCTCTTTAATTAATCCTTAACAGCCAGAAAAGTACCTGGAACACAGTAGTGATTCACTAGTTCAATGTTTATTAAAAGTGACCAAAAAAACCTGAATATTTTTCCTGTATAAGAGGAAGGTTATCTGCCTACCTCTTATATTTCTGTACTCAAACTGCAAATATCAAAAGATGAAACAAAGTCACATCTGAAAATACTTGTACTAGAGATACAAAGATGAATAAAATAAGGTCTAAAACTTTGTACATGGATAGTCAGGCTTGCTCTAGGGAGACTAAGAATAAATTTTTCCCCAAATTACTAGGGGAAAATTTTTATGGATTTTTCTGGCACCCTCTCAGTCCCTACCTACCCAGGTTCAACCTTCATAAAGTTTGTGGATTGATTTGAGGAGGTAATGTTGGCCTGAAGAGAAGATGGAGTAAGTAGCAGCCTATAAGTTGAAAACCTATGAGCAAACTGGTGTCAAACTAATTATTATATTTAAGACCTCTGTACATACTGTCATTTTGTAATTCTTGGAAGTATCCTGTCCCAATATGTTTATCCAATCACCTGTCATATAGGAAAAATTTCACTATTTGCTTCTTTGAGTCTTGGAAAACTGTCTTTAAAAGTTACAATTAAATTATGGATACACGGTAGCCTGGGGTAGGACACTACCATTCCTGGCACTGCAGGCTATCAGAACCAAACCTAGAAAAAAGGTTTTTCCAGGAGAGAAATCTGTGACCACAGCAGATTATAAATACCTGCTTCAGTTTTGTAGAGGGCTAACTTGGAGAATAGACTCTTGTGGAATAGTCTGAAATAATCTGAAAGAAGTCAGACTCAATATGCCATTATTGGTGACACTTACTAAATTAAGTGAAATTAAAATTAACTGAAACTATGACAATCATCTTTGAGAACTGATCTGAAATGAAGAGAGTACTCATTGCTGATCACTTGAAACAAAATTAATAAGCTCTTTAAGTGAAAAGAAACAAAATGAATTATACTGGTTAGGAAGTTATTTCTATAAATAAATTGTTTGTTATTCTGAAAAACGAATTAACCAACCCTTTGAAAGAGCTAAATACTATGTCAGTGGATTCTTATAAATATTTATTTTTGTATTATAAAGAAACCTAATTAATGTGTTGCCACCTGTGTTTGCTATGAATTAGTACTTTTGCAGTCACTGTGTATTAAAAAAAAACAGGATTTGGCAGTAATCATTTTAGTAATTCTCTTTGTGTACTTCTGAAGCTTCTCAGGACTACTATAATTAGCTACATCAGATAGTTTATTATTTTGGTATTACAGAATGGAAGGAATTGATAACATTACAGACAAATAATTTTTTTAAAGTCAGGTTGAAAAGTACAGTATAAATAAAAGTAATATACAAACAGTTTAACTTCTGAACATAGAGGAGGGAATTTTATTAGGTAAAAGCAATGGATTAGAAATGTAACAAAAATTCTCCATGTAACCCAATAAACTCCATTTTGTAGTATTATACAGAAAATAATCAAATTGTAGAATGCATTTAAATCACTTGTTATTCCTTATATTCATATTTTAGTAGTCAAAATTTAAGCATATTTATTTTGTGAATCTAATCCTACCAATTAAAAATTATTGAATCTCTACTATATTGATCTGGAACCTTTAATTATTGATAATATTTTTTATCTTTTCTGTTTCCTACTTGTTATAAGTCTGTTGTTCTGTAGGCGTCCTCATGCTCCCAAAAGAGATTAACTCTAGTTTTGTTTTTTCAGAAACTAACAGTTTTCTAAACTTATTTGTTTTATTTTAAAGCAATTGAATTCATATGATTTTGAAATCTTTAGTGGCTTTCTCTTCTCCCTTCTTGCTGCTGGACCCACACATTGTAATTAACTTTTTCTGATTTTTTAATCTAATTATTAGAATGAATATTCAAGTTATCCTATCTTATAGCTAGAGAGTTTAAATTACTTAACCTCTGCATATACTATTATGAATACTCTAAGTTAGATCTCTTTGTGCAACTCCTTATTAAAATATTTGAATAGGTATGAAAACATAATAAACATTTCTGAAAATATATGACATCTTAATATTGTACAATAAAATAATAACAATAATAATAATGAATTGGGTACACAGTTAACCAAAAGTAAAACTACAAGTATACTCACAATAAGAAAATAATATGGCTAGAAATGTATTTTTTGAAAAGTATTTGTAGCCAGGTTAAAATTTCACCAAACATTTCATTTCCCCATGAAAGGACTTTTAAAATGTTAATCATTATTTTATTCGATACTTAGTTGAATTTTATCTTGAAATTTGAAAACTGAGAAACATTAATACTAAAAACAAGTGTTTAACAGAAACTCATTCTGTCCTATTAAGGTATATTGCTAAGTTCAAAAGAAAATAATGCCTTAAGATACACTCTTTTGGTTGTCTGTGAATTGTGAAAATCTACCACTATTGAAGAAATAATATCACTTCTGTTTTTTCCTTCAAGTTAACAGACTTAAAAGGAAGCTTCATTAATATTAATAATCAAGTTTGTATAATATATACAGTAAAAAAAGGGTAAATGTTACATTACAGTAATAATGATATTATCTTTTCTTGTTATTGTTCTTGCTTTTTTTTCTCTGTACCAACATTTTTATTTACATTCTACATATTTTTATGTATTTTTAACTGTCTAAAAGCATTTAATAATATGTAAACTCTGATTCAGATTAAGTTTAGAATTATATGTTTACACAGTTATATGATTACTAGAGGCCCAATGCATGAAATTCGTGCAAGGGGCTCGGCCCTAGTGGCCGTGGTGGCTACCTCAGCCCTCACAGCCCCAGCTTCATCCGGAAGGTCAAGGTCATCTGGAAGGTTGTTCGGCTGCCTGGTCTAATTAGCATATAATGCTTTTATTACTATAGATAGATATTTACAGTAGCCTAGCAAGCCTTTTAGAAGGGACCCTTGAAGATAATCAGCATATAGTTTCATTTTAGTGTAACTTTACCCATTGAAGTCTTATGAATATTCTACTTTTCTTTAGCAGATTTTCCACAGATACTAAGAGAGTCGCCGTGATTCAATTTTGTCACAACAAAGTGATTTCAAAGTGGTCTTTTCTGAGTTTTCTTGGATGCTTGTAACTGGAACATTTGGGGCTGATGAGGTTTGTCAGGAAGACAGAAAAGATGGTGTCACTTCAGATCTGATATTCCTGGGTCTGGATTTAAAGATTATCTGTTGAAGATTGATTCTTCCCCAGGTCCTCTCCAAATTCAGATCTCACTTCTCCAGAGGTTTAGAAGGCCCTATTTCACCACTGCCACACAGAAAAAGACAAAACTCAAGAAAGATAATATTACAAGTTGACTGCTCTGCAAGATACATGTCTTAGGTCAGAATTTTATGGCTTTTGGCATCAGACCAGCACACTATTAATAGAACAAAGAATGGAAACAAAAGCATAGTTCCTAGAACTTGAATTTATTTAATTTCTTCCCCAGTGTAACTTATTAAACCCTTCAAATATAAGGCGTTCTTATCACTCAAATAATTCTCCCAACTATAGGGACACTTTTTCACCCCTTGCATTATCTAAGCTAGAATGGGTAAAGCACATAAATATGTAACATAAAGATAGGATGTCAGCCAGGTAGATGAAAGTAGGGAGGAAGGAAACAGTAAGTGTTTTCCTTCAAATAATTTTACAGTGTACTTTAACTTATTACTGGCAAATCTGTTTGAAACATAGACCTAACAAATTTAAAAGTGAAACATCAAGTTTAACATGGTTTTCTCCAAATATTAAATACTGAATACCCTCTGTAAATGAAAATAAAGTACACACACACAGATTTTTCCTTCAAATTCCTAAATTCACAGCTTCCCTAACCTGCCCCAGTGATTGTGGGTAAAATTATATTTTTTGCAACAACACTTTGCCTTAATTTTTTAACAAAGAAATTGTTTCTTAAAATACTTCCACCCCCCACCCCCACATCAGGGAACATATAAGCATTTGAAAGAAAAGATGACTTTCATAATTTATATGCTTAGAATTATTTCATCTAAAAATGAATTCTGCTAATTCCCATTGGTATAAGCAATTGCTTTAAATAGAATAAAAACATAGTAACTTTTTAAAGTTTAACTGGGGGCTTCATAGGCTGTCTACCTAACTATTCCTTTCTCAATAGGTGAGGATATAGAAATTTTCTCACATAAAATTAATATTCCTGACTCTGAAATGAAACCATGTCCTTTTTTTTGGGGGGGGGGGAGGTCATCCTTTGATTTCCTGTGATTTCTGACTTATTATAATGCCAATTATACATTGATGCATTCAATTCAGAGCCAAGCACTGAGTTATAATCTTCACAACCATCTTTTCCTGTTAACAAATGAGTAAGATAATGAGAAATCATAATGGTTTCCTGCCCCCTAGTGATCTGTGGTGGATTTTGATAGAAAGGATGAACAATTGTCACTAATGAATCTCAATGATTTGGTTTTCCTGAATATAAGGGAACAACTTAAATAGGACTTAAAGTTCTTAAAGCTAAAATCAAGTAAGCAAGTACATATAAATATGTAGGTGGTATTACATTGGTTTAAAATTAGCATGAATTTACAAGCTGCTACAGTCATTTAATTTTTACCAATACAAGTTCTAAATCCTTGCATTTTGCCTCTTGCTAGCATATAGTTTTATAAGTAGCTAAATTTCATCTGGTTTTAGTGAGACTCTTCCCATGTTACCCAGTAAATATGTCCTTGAGTTTGACAGACCATGAAAAGGAGTAACCTAAATTATATAGACATTACCCATTCTTCTAACTTAAAAAATAAAATTTGGCAGCTAGATCCTTGAAGTAGTAGATTTAACACAGAAGTAAAACCTATTGTATAGGCTGTAGAAATCTGGCAATAGATGCAGGACATTAAAATCAATTTCAGTTGGGAGGAAACTCTGACTTAAACCATTAAATAACTGTTCATTTGTTTAAACTTTGCCTCTAGGTTAGGGTGGATATACAGCTGTTTTTTCCTGAAATTATCTTTCATTTCTTTACAAGTACGACTTGTTAAAATTTACACTAGAAAGCCATAGTTGTTTTTTTGTGGTTTTTTTTGTAAATTGAATTACAAATGGCTAGAAAAAAATTTTTAATGTTTTTTATTGACTTTTTTTTTTTTTAGAGAGGAGGGGAGAGATAGAAATATGGATGAGTAACATCTACATCCACAGGCTGCCTCCTGCTCACCCCCTACTGGGGATCGAGCCCAAACCCAGGCATGTGCCTTGACCAGGAATCTAATTGTGGACCTCTTGGTGCTGGGTCAACTTTCAACCAGTGAGCCCCACCAGCTGGACAAAAAGAACAACTTTTGTTTTTAGGCAAATTTTGATTGCTCTATAAACTTTAATCAAATCAGTCACTATATGGTAATTAGGGATTTTGTCTTGTTTTTTAGCCAAAGAAATGAAAAATTTCTTATCCACATCTTTTGTTAAGGCAAAAAGAGGAAACTGTTTATTCTGGGGTCCTGATTTTTCTTGGGAATGTTTTCAAATGATTTGAGTTATTCATCAGTTTCATAATCAGTAAAAGGAAATGAGCGTTGGTGGGGAAAATTAAAACATAAAGGTCAGGAATAAGGAAAAGAGAGGAGGATAGTTCACAAATATAGAAATATGTAAGTTGAATTCAAATTAATTTTTAATTGAGCACCTACCATGGGTCCCAAAAGTGGCTGACAATACCACTGTTTTAAATTTAAATAAAGAAAATGGAAACATATCAGTATTTAGTCTTTATTTCTAAAACATCATCCTGAATGACCCATTCAAATAAAAAGTTTTGTTTTCAACTGATTCTTTTTACATTATTCAGCATGTTCATTAGGTACCCACTATTACCAGCTATGTTACCAGGCACCTCAGCTGAGAGGTGATGAACAAGAAGCACAGTCTCATAGGAGCTTTATCACGTGTTCCTAGGCTGAAAAGGCCCTTCTTTGTACTTCTTGGTAGGTGGAGTATGTAGCTTAGTGGTGAAATACAGAAATGTAGAAATCAGATAGGTCTAGGTTCAAATTCCAACACTCGTATCTAGTATTTAGTTTCTGTGTGGTCTCAGGAAAAAAGTCTCTCTGAACCTCAGTCCCCATCTGAAAAATTAGAATAATACTTACCTCATAAGGCTGTAAAGATTAGAATTACACATGTAAAGCATTTAGCAGCATAAAAAGAGTGCTAACTAAATGGATGCAAGGATTACTAGTGAGAGCCTGGGATGGATGGATCATGGGTTTCCAAATCTGGCCTGCCACTTCAACTTCTTAACACCAAATATAACTCTACTTGCTTCAGTTCCCTGGCATTCATCTGTCACCCTGGCTACTATACCCCAAGTATTAAGGAGAACATACCACAAAGATATGTTCCCACAGAACTTTTCAGTACCTTAGGATCCTAGTAATGCTAGGGTGCCTGCAGAACAGTAGCATTTGTCACTGAGAAGCATTTGGTGATACACAGGAGGTGGGGATGGTGAGGAAAAATGAGGAACTGACCAAAGTAGATTAATGGGGGGGGAAAAAAAGGATTTTAACTCATAAAACCATTTAAAATTAAGAAAAAGAAACCAAATTTCTTTATTCTCAACTATATGTGCACTTACACATTCAGGTTATTTTTCTTTTGGTTGGTACCGATTTAGCTTTTAAAAATAATGACAAGTTTTTGTTTAGCAATTTCACTGTTTTTTTTGGGGGGGGGGGATTTCCCAGAGACCTATTAAATATGGAAGTTCCTTAAGTGATTTAGGGAAACAAGTTATTGTTTTAACCAGGGAGAAAGTTGGCAAAAACTACTACCCTCACTTCCCATCTTTTAGAATATAAAAATTGGTATATTATCTCAAGTATTTAGGCATGTCCTTGGCATGTTCATAATTGTTTTCTTGGGCATTCTATAGCTCTAACTCAATTTTTTAATCTATTCAAATTATTTTTAAAAAGTGTTTTTATTGATTTTTAGAGAGAGGGCGAGGGAGGAAGAGAGAAACATTAATGTGGGATCGAAACATCGATTAGCTGCCTCCTGCACACCCTAGACCAGGGATTGAACCCACAACCCAGCCATGTGTACTGATTGGGAATCAAGCAGCAACCTTTCATCGCACAGGATGATGCCCAACCGAGCCACACTGGCCAGGGCATAATCAAATTATTTTAACCTACCAAATTACTTCAATCTTTACTCAAATCACAGAAAATTTCAAATCTTTAATTTTTTATTCAACTTTTATGACTTGTTCATATTTTTGTCCTCAACCACATTACTTAAATGGGATTTTCCAGGTCAGTCTATTATTTTACCTTTTAATTGGTGCTCTGAGTGCCCTAGCAAACACCTTATTTTAATTCTTTTATTTTTATAACTAGCCCCTGGAATCCTTCTTCTCATTCTTATCTGTATTCAAACTTCACACATTAAACATTAGCCATGTGCTATTTTACTTTATGTGGTAAGGCATTTCTCTGAATAAATGGGTGATTAAGAGTTCTTGTCCACTGCCCCTTGGTTGTGCTTTATTAATCTGAGTTTCTTAGTCGTTTACTACAGAATTATAAACATCTGAGTGGCACTGTAATTGATGGCAAGCTTTTTAGGCACTGACTCAATTACTCTAGAATTTCTTGCTAGAGAACAAAAGTCCTTTTAAGTAAGACTGTGTTTATGAGACAGAAAGAAAAACAAGATTGTGTATTTATCCAGATTTCCCTCTCATTTTTAGATTTGGAGCCCGATCATTCAAATTATAAAGGCAAGAGGAGCACACAGCTTCCATAACCTTGATTCATTGTCTTCACAGCACTAAAGGGCAAGAAACAATAGTAAGCTCCAAAGCTGTAATTCAACCTCAGGAGAGGTAAACAATGAGGAAACTGGGCTGGTCAGAGGTGGTGGATATTTTTCATTCCTCCTAGTTTTAAAAGGCAAGAAAGTAGCCTTTAAATGAACTCTGCCTTAACAAGGAAAACTGTACATTATACTTAAAGCCTGTGCTTCCTCTGTAGCTAGTTCCAGAACAAAAGGTGTTGTTTTCTATAACATGAGACAGAGAAAACAACATTGTTGAGGTGTGGTTTTGTGAACATCTCAGTCATGTAAAATTAGATTGTTTATATATATATAAAGGCCTAATATGCTGTGTCTGACTGATCAGTCAACCGTTCAGTTGACTGCTCGACCAGTCACTATGATGCACACTGACCACCAGGGGGCAGACACTCTGCCCAGGTTAGCTTGCTGCTGGGGTCCGGCCGATCGGGACTGGGCGAGAAGGGCCGGATACACCCTGCAGCCCTCCCGTGATCCCTCCCCGGCCAGCCAGCCCCGATGGGGACTGGGCGAGATGCCCCCAATCGGGACTGGGCAATATGGGCTGGTCACGCCCTGGAGCCAACCTCACGTGGTCCCTCCCCGGCCTCTAAAATGTTTCTTCTAATTAATTTCCTTTCAATGTGCACAAACTCATGCACCGGGCCTCTAGTATTTATATATTTGGTTGCTAATTGTTGGCTATTAGTACATGTCAAAACTTTATATCTCCTTTCCTAACAGAATAGACAATCCATTAGGAAATGGATTGGTAGTATTTAGAAAGAACCCTGTTCTTTTATGATGAAAATGCCATTGCAATACATTTTGATGAGGGTCATGTAAAACAGTGGTCCCAGAGAAAATTGTTTACTATACTAGACAGTTTAGAAATTTGGTTTAAGTTTATCTCTCTACACTATTCTGATTGTCTCTGGGTTTGTTACAGAACTTTTATCAGGTTCCTATCAGTAATGTATATGGCATATTTCATTTTAAGTTGCATTTCAGATTTAATTACTTGCTAAACTACTGTATCCAAAACTAAGATGAATCACTTTTTCTATGTAGCTTTAAAAAGAAAATCCTTGATTTCTCATTTATCTTTTTGTGTATTTTCCCCATCTCTACTTTCCATTTTAATATTGCATGGCTCCTGTACTATTCCTATTAACACCTCAATGTCTCCCCACAAATCTCTGACTCACACTGTGCTCTAATACTTCTCTGTCAACTAAGTCTGTGCTAGTCAATAGATGTCTCAATTCTCCTGGCAACTTGTTCTTTAATGAAAGTTGTATTAAAAAATATGACTTGCATATCTTAAAAATCTGATGTAAAAAAAGAGCAATACTATTTATACTCACAAAATTATACTTTTAAATATAGTAGTTATTTAAAATCCCGTTCATTATAATGGTATTACAATGCAAGTAATTCACATTAAAAGGCATTCTATTCAACAGTTGTGTTTATTGGCGGGTCAGTTAGCCAGTGTTTTAACTCACACGTAATTCATGTAGACCCTGTGTCAGCAATACCTAACAGTAATACTACTTTAACTAAAAAATGATAAACTATTTCCATTTATATGCTCTGTGATTATTTTATAGTCCTCAAATTTTGTAGTCCTTTACAGAAAAAAAAAAAAAAAAAGCATGGTGATAAACTGCAATTTGCCAAAGCACATTTTCTCCAAATCTTAATAGTATGAAACACAAGACAGTTTTTTGCACACTCTCCTTTTATAGAACAACCAGATTTGTAATTTTTTTATTTTATTAATTTTATCAATATACATGGCAGCTTTCTCAAATCTCAAAAGTTCCAAAAGTATGTACTTTTAAAGGTGAAAATCATTTTCTTTAGATGTCATATTCCTAGAGAACTATTAAAATCTATTTATATAAACAAAAATAACTGATAAACTAACACACTTTAGAAATCAGAATATTTTAAATTATTTTAAATGAATACAAGATATGTCTTTTTAATTAACTATCATAGTTAAATTTAATATCACAAAACAAAATGACTTGTCCTCACAAATTTCTCAAATGGAGTAAAGTCATTGGGTTTTACACTTAATATAAGTTTTAAATGTGATTATTAAATGATAATATTTTATCAATTATAGGAAAATATTCATTTATAGGAATTTTCTTAGGTCTATCAATTCTTTTGGGCCAAGTCTGAGCCCATGTCAACCTTCAAGGTTAGATTCAGTGCACCTAACCTGCCTAATAAGAATATGAATTTCATTGATAAGAAGGGGAATAAACAATGGCTCAATCACTGTTCAACTTACCAAAAAGAAAAGATAAAAAAAGCTAAAAGTGAATAGGATAGCTTCAAATAACTAATTACTTTTTAAAATTTAAATAGGAATGGCCAATGATGTTGTTTAAAATTTCACAGGATAACCGTAAAAAAAAAAAAAACAAACCAAAAAAACCCCACATAGAAATAGTGAAGTCATCACCTTATTAATAAAAAACTAAAGTTTAATAGTCATTAAAGGGGTAACAACCACTTGTAGTCTACATTTAAAAGAAATTTTTAATCATAGCTAAAACAAACTAAAAACAAAGAATTCTATTAAGAAAAAACAAAAATGATAAACATTTAATAACACCTAAAATGTAGATACTTAAGATCCTAAACAAAAATATTTAAGGTAAAAGGGCCTTGAAATTTTTTCCAACAATTAATCTTAAGAAATCAATTTCTAAATAGCTCATATCCTTTGCTTTGGTGTTTTTTCTGCTATCAACTAAACATTAGAGCACAGAAAGTGATTTATGTTCTTTTTAAATGCTTGGCATTATAATGTGATCTCATATCTTTTCTCAAATTGAATTTTGCTCCACATATTCCACATGTATACAGATGAACATCCATGTGCTGTTCCAACTGTTCATTATTTGGGAATATCTGAAAGCAGACCTGGCATATAGTCTCACCAGCAGATAAATGAGAAATCATATGCCGTACATGGTCATGCTTTCTGAAGTTTCCTTGATCACAAATGGAACAGACATACCTGGCCATGCCTTTGTGCATATCATTGTGCAGTCGCAACTGACGTTCTCTTAAAAACTGCTTCCCACATGTCTGACACACAAACTGTTTTTCCTTAGTATGAACAGTATAGTGCTCTCTTAGGTGACACCGCTGATAAAATCCTTTTCCACACAGATTACAAAAATGCTTTCGTCTGTGATCTCTTTCATTTTCTTCTATGATAGCATTCTTAAACATATCTTGGTCTAGGCAGCCAGACATATGTTCAACCACTAGATTTTCAGTTTCAAAACGCTGGCCACAATTAGGGCACCGAAAAGGACAGGCAGAATGTTTAAATAACTGCTTTTTTTGGATACTGTTTATCTGGAAATGACTGTCCCTAAAATCATCCAACATTTCAACAAACATATCTCTTATTTCAGACTGCTCATCAGGATTCTCTTCCATGTCCATTTTCTCCTCAGTATTTCCTAACCCATTCATTGTCAGATCTTGGGGTTCTCCACATCTTTGAGCATGTTCCTGAAGTTGTCTACCCTTCACAAGTATTTGTCCACATTTACCACATGCACAGATGTTTTCAATGTGCTTGGCTAGGTAATGAGATGACAGGTCCTCCTCGGTTATTGTGAGTCCGCACAGTTCACAAGATGCATTCTCAGTATCTTCTTGTATTGGACTGCTGTTGTTAGGGGGTCGCGTATTTTCTAAACCACCTCTTTCATCAGCGTTCATTGACATTCGAGGTTTTAGAGTTTTCCTACCACTTTTTTTAATACTGACATCTTCTTCAACATAGTATCTGTAAAATGGCTCTTCAGGTTCGTCTTCTAATTCATCGTTGTCAGTGGATTCATTACAATCTTTATCAGTAACTTTAATAATGTTGAAGTCTTTCAGTTCATCTGTAGGAATATCTTCTGGCTCCATCTTGATAATGATTCTTTTTCTCTCGGCAGCTCTGCTTTTTTCTTCACTGGCTAGTTCAGACTCCACTGTGCTACTCTTTCTGCTTCCAGTGGGTGAAGTCGAATCATCAGCAGGCTGACTTGTGTCTCCTCTGTATTTGTCTGTCTGTGCAGAGTATGTCTTAGAAGAATCCTTTTCACCAAATTCAGCTTTGATATTACTCTCTTTTCCATCTCTAACATCTACTATTCTGTGATAGGATCTCGTGTTTTGATACGAATGTCTGTTAGTACAGGTTAGCACATGCTCATCTAATAATTTTTCACAGCTAAAGCCAAATCCACAACTATCACAGGTAAAACTTCGTCCAAAGCGTCGTGACACACGTTCTTTTGGAGTAGATAATTTGGACACAGAACTTTTTTTACACACGTCAAATAGTGGTTCAGGAAAACTACCCAATTGTAAAGACTCTTCATCAGGCTCTCTGTTATGTGGTGTATTTACTGTTGAACTTGGCTCTGCACACCACCTATTGGCTTCACTGCCATTTCTAGCCACAGTATCTTCATACATTCTCACCCCAAATATCATTTTGCTGTTCTGTTTGCTAGAAGCAGATGATGAACATTTTGAACTAGAACAATCTGCATCCTGTATGTCTTCTAAGCAGTCAGGAACATTGTACAGCTGTAGGTAATTCATGGCCACTTTAAACTGCTCAAAACTGGAGGGAGCTGTCATTATTTTTCCTAAATACATAAATTGCAAAATGAGATCAAAACACTCTGCACTAATTTTCATGTTGCTGAGATTCAGCTGTGCAGTACTATGCTGATGGTTCATGAAAAACATTCTAAAATAGGAGCTACAAGCAGCTAGAACGGCTTTGTGTGCTTGAAAGTAAATGTCATCAATTGCAATACAACAGTCACAGAGAAAACCCCATTCCCTTTGGTTGTTTAGCTGCTGAAGGACGTAGCTGCTGTGGCTGGGCTTTGCCATCTTCTATTAATTAGCGACCTATGTAAAACAAAAATATTACAGTCAGACAAGATATCACAAAAGCACTTGAACAAAAGAATAAATCTGATCATGATTTGTGACTTGTGTCACTTCGCTATTACAGTCAAGGTATGAATCAAGTCTCCCATTCTAATGTAGCAAAATTCAATAATATATATCTGAATCATGTTTTAAATTTGAAAATGAAAAATACTCAGCCATTTATTCAAGCTTCTCATTTTGATTTTAAGAAATACAAGCAAAATCAAGCAAAAACCATCATTTTGGTTTCATTACAACTCTACAAGGGAAAATGTATACTAAATTTGAAAGGAAAAAGACATGAGTTTAAAGGATATAAACAATGAAAGTAAATAAAATAGTAACAAGTTGAAAATTAGTAACTCAACTGCAAAATATTAAAAACTTATTGGATGGTGGACATACAGGAATTATTGCTCATTTTTAAATGTGATAAGGATATTTTATTTTTGTTTATTTTTTTTTTTATTGCTTAAAGTAATACAAAGGGTATTACATATGTGTCCATTTTTCCCCCCCGCCCTAGACAGTCCCCTAGCCTCCCCTAGTTTTGCTTAAAATGAGTCCTATCTTTTAGATATACATACTCATATTTTATAGATGAAATTATATATCTAAAATATACTTGAAAATAAATACAGTGGGTTGGCTGTGGGACTAGAGATGATACGAGATTGGTCATGTACTGATAACTACTAAAGTTGGGAGACAGGTATAATTCAATTCTGTATGTTTGAAAATTTCCTTAGAAAAATTCTATTTCAAAAAACTTATTAAATTACATGGAAATGACACCGAGCAAATAGGTTTGATGACTGCTTTTTTCTTGATTACTGGAGAATCAATAATTCTGTAGAGTCAGAATAGCTGTCTTTTTGCCTTGACTGGTTTTCTCAGTGGTTAGAGCGTTGGCCCACAGAGGAAATGGTCGTGGGTTCGATTCCTGATCAAAGGCCTGTACACCTGGGTTGCAGGCTCGATCTTAGCCCCAAGCCGATTCAACCCATCAATGTGCCTCTCTCACCTCTCTCTCTCCCCGCCCTCTCTGTGCCCCTCCTCCCTCCCTCCCACCCTTTCTCTAAAAAAACAAAACAAAACAAAATCAATGGAAAAAATATCTTCATATGAAGATTAAAAAGTAAAATAAAATAGTTGTCTTTTATTGTTCGATATGCACTGTAGGGTATAAGCAGCAGTGGACCTATTTGAGAAGAGGTGTCTATCCACAGATTGTAAATTTTTCTTAATTTTTTGATTGTTTAAAAACATGTATACAAAAGTAATGCATGCTCACTGCAAATAATTCAAACATAAAAGTATATCGAATAAAAACACACTTTAGACTGTATGCCTCTTCCCAGAGGTAACCTCTCCAAACACTCTGGACTGTATCTTCAATTTCTATGGGTACATACAGAATCAACAGATTTCAGTACCTACCATGTGCCACACATAGTTTTGCTTTTGTTGTATATTTGTTTTTTAAGCCTAATTGGGATCATACTACATACGTTATTTTCTGAAACTAGTTTTTTCTACTTAACAACATATGGTAGATACTATAAGTGTTTTTTAAAATAATAATTTCCTTTTTAAAATATGTTTTTATTGATTTCAGAGAGAGAAAGGGAGAGGGAGAGAAATAGAGAGAGATAGAAACATCAGTGATGAGAAAGAATCATTGATCGGCTGCCTCCTGCACGTTCCCATTTGGGATCAAACCCGCAACCCAGGCATGTGCCCTGACGGGGAATAGAAAGAACCCCTGGTTCATAAGTCGACGATCAACCACAGAGCCAGGCTGGCTGGGCGACACTGTAAGTATTTTTTAGAAATACTTTTTTATTGATTTCAGAGAGAAAAGGAGATGGAGAGAGACAGAAACATCAATGATAAGTGAGAATTATCGCTAGGCCTCCCCCTGGACACTCACCACCAGGGGATTGAGCCCACAACCTGGGCATGCGCCCTGACTGGGAATCGAATCTCAACCTCCCGTCTCATAGCTTGATGCTTAGGCAAAACTGTAAATATTAATGTAGGGAGTTGACTTTAATAAAAAAAGGAAAGGAAAATAGTAAAAGCAGCAGAAGTCCTACAAAGAAGTATTACAAAGCTAAAATAAAATCCAATTTTAGCCTCAATTTCTAATCTGTATATAAAACTTCAGAATCTGTTTTCTACTGAAAAAACAAGTTCCTAGGCAATCTATATATATATATATATAAAAGCCTAAGTGACGGACTGACCGGTCAACTGGTTGGTATGATGCGCAGTGACCACCAGGAGGCAGATGCTCAACACAGGAGCTGCCCCCTGGTGATCAGTGTGCTCTCACAGCCAACCTTCCACCCTGCAGCCGGCCGGCCAACCTCCCGTAGTCCCTACCCCCAGCCGTCCAGCCAACCTCCCATGGTCCCTCCCGATCAGCCCCAATTGCTGGCCAGGCCGAGGGACCCCACCTGTGCACAAATTCATGCACCAGGCCTCTAGTTTGAACATAAAAAGAACATTTAACAATAAATACAGAAATAACATGTTCACTCTTCATCCCCAAACCCTTCAAATCTTGTAGTAATTAAGACAGTATCTGACTTTACTTACTTCACTTGTTTTTTACCTGTTCGTCACAGAACACACGTGGCTCCTTCCCCTTTCCCTACTACTTAAAGACTCATCCAGCCTTCCTTTTCCTGCCTACAGATGGAGTTGTTGCATGGTTAGGGATGCACATGAAATAGTACTGTTGACATGCACTAGTGAAATGAAGATGGCTCAGGTGAACTACTACCTTCTGGAAATTGCAACCACTGTGTCTTTTCTATAAACTAGATGAAGTATTTCAAGTAGGTACAATATTTCAACCTTTTCTGACTCAGATATCTGTGCCCAAACTGTGAGGAATCACATTCAGTATGTACCTAAATACAAAAAGCAATTAATGCACAAGATTTTCACTAGTGTGTTATTTATAATTTCAAATGCCTGATAATAAGGGAGTTGTTAGTAAACCAAGATAAATCCACACTCTAAAATTCAGTCATGTGATCTTTAAAAACTATATTTATGAATGAAAACTGTAGAAGAAAATGAGAAAAGTTTGACCTCCCCGCCTAATCCCAAGCCTATTTTATGTGGGATTCAGAGACCTTTAATGAATAATAAATCAAAGAGAAAGAGGGATAGATATTATCTCAAATTTTTTTCTAGTAATAAGAGTTGTTTAAAATGAAACGAAGTTGTTCAGAGGATAATGAATGCCCTGTGTGGCAGCAGAGACAAAAGTTGCTGAGGACAGTAAGGTACAGTGAAGAGCACAGGCTTTGGATCAGACAGACCTGAACTCTAATCTAGAATTTGCTGCCTTGAGTAACTTGTTTGTTCTCATTGACCCCAAGTTTCCTGAACTGTCAAAGTGGGGGAAAATAATAATTCAAATAATACATCAAACATGAGAATTCATAGAAGCAATGTGTATAGTGTGTACTTGGCATGTAATAATTAATGGAAGTGACAACAGTAGCAGCTGTGTGGTTGTGATGCTTATGTAGATAAGCTTAGCTTCCTTCCAAATAGGAGTCTAGCAGTATGAAAGCCAGCAGTTAATCTGTAAAAACTTTCAGGTTTTAAATATCCTGTGCTTGATATAGTAACATGAAGAGCCTAAAGGTTCCAAGGACTCTTCTAATTAAATGAAAAGCAGTTTTATGGTAACCAAAATTAAAGCAACATAGAAGACCAAGATGAAAGGCACACCTGTAGCTATTGCTGCAATCAATTAAATTTGTGAAAATGTATACATTCTGTGTTAACACAAACACTAAAACAAGAGCATCGATAGCACTTTAATGTCAACTTATTAATAAATATTTACTGAATATTGTACTGAGAGTCAGCATAGCACAGGTATTCTGTAATCTCAAGCACATATCATGCAGGTGATTTTTGAATTTTTCTAGGTTAGTGACTTCACTTAACATGTACTCAGTAAAGTGCCCACTCTGTAGAAGAAGGCTGTGGAGTACCGAAGGGCTCTGGATCAAATAGGCCTGGGTCCACCTGGGTCCCACTGCCTCCAAGTCTCTCCTCATAGAGCTAGAAGCTGAACAAGTGCTGACTGTGTCTAAAAATAACGTAATACTACAGCTTTGAGTCTGACCGAGAACTGTAGTTTGATCAGTGTCATTATGCAAATGTCCAAGTTCTGGGTAAAAATAATTTTAGGTACACTGACGTAAGAGCAATCATTCACACATTAGTACCAACAACTCTGTTCTTGTTACACCTCATTCAGAAAAGCTTTAAGAAGGCTTAATAACACTAAAAGGGAGAGGGGGACAGTCCAGGGTGAGGGATTTAAATTCCTGAGACTTTTAGCTTATCTTGAGAATAATTTTTGCATTAAATTTTTATATTAATTTACTTTTATTAATAACTTTCAGTCAAATTCCAAAAGAAGTTTGCTCTTTTCAAGTTGATATCCTTAATGCTACCAAAAAAACGTAGTGAACTTTGTTATAGTAAAGCTTGTAAATAGTTTTAAAGAAAAGAACTGCTGTACTTCAGTTGTTTGTTTTTGAAAATTGATTTTAGAGAGAGATAGAGGAAGGGGGAAGATGGAGATGGAGGGAGGGAGGGGGAGAGAGAGAGAGAGCGAGAGAGAGAGAGAGAGAGAGAGAGAGAGAGAGAGAGAGAGAGAGAGAGAGAAGAGAGGCAAGAGATTTGTTGTTCCACATACTTTATGCATTCCTTGTTTCTTTAATGTGCCCTGAGCAGAGATCAAACCTGTAACCTTGGCTGATCAGTACGATGATCTAACCAACTGAGCTACCCAGCCAAGGTCAGTTTTTCTTGTTTTTATAACTGAAACTGGTGGTGGCTTTTGTTTGTTACTAGCTGCATTGCTGGTAGAACAAATGTATTACAGCCAGAAGCCAGGGGCTTAGGGCTGAGAACAGAAACTTCAAATGAGATTT